GTCCCCTTGCCTTTTTACATGTGAACATTTTTTCACTCTCCATCGGGAAATAGATTCAAACAGTTTTGACTAGGGAAACTTTGTTTTAAATGATATTTCAAAGTGCTTCAAATGACAAATGTAATGTACGATGTCATGAAGGTTTATATCATCAGCCACATTGAGTTTTTTTTTTTGCTATATTTTAACCTGTTGGCTTAATTTTAGAATTGCCTCACAGTCCAAATCAGTGTCAATATGTGTGTCTAAACAGGGCCTCCCCTGGTGGCACAGCGGTTGAGCGCTGGTCTGCGAAGCTGCCACAGCCTCTGCAGCGCCGGTTCCATCCTGCACCAGCAAGGGTCCCACATGGCACGCAGACCTCTCCTGCCATGCCTGCTGCTCCCCTCAGCAGTGTATTTCATTGGTCTGTCTGTTTTGTTCCCTGCTCTGACTCTGGTGAATTCTCTCACCCTCCCGTGCTTCTGACTGTACCAAGTGCTTGTATAAATAAATAAATAAATCTTTAAAAATAATGATATGTATGTGTAAACATACAAGGAGTCCAGATAGGAAAAGAAGAAGTAAAACTGTCACTATTAGCAGACAATATGATAATATACATAGAGAAAACTAAAAACTCCACAGAAAAACTACTCAAAATAATCATCCAGTTCAGTAAAGTAGTAGTATTCCAAATCAACACGCAAAAATCAGTAGCCTTCCTATACACAATCAATATGAAGAAGAAGAAATCAAGAAAACCATCCCTTTTATAGCTGAAACAAACAAAAAAAAACAAATAATTGGGAATAAACCTAACAAAAGAGGTGAAAGACCTATACAAAGAAAATTATAAAACACTGTTAAAAGAAATAGAAGATGACACAAAGAAATGAAAAGACATCCCCTGCTCATGGATTGGAAGAATTAACATTATTAAAATGGCCATCCTACTGAAAGCAATATACAGATTCAATGCTATTCCAATAAATATCTCAATGACATTCTTCAAAGAAATAGAACAAATACTGATGAAATTTGTATGGAACCACAAAAACCCACAACTAGCCAAAACCCTACTGATGAAAACAATGGAGGAAGGAGGTATCACACTTCCAAACTTCAAGCTATACTACAAAGCCCTAAGAATGAAAACAGCTTGGTATTGGCATAAAAACAGACACACAGACAAATGGAGCCAAATAGAGAGCCCAGAAATAAAACCACACTTATACAGACAACTAATTTTTGACAAAGGAGCAAAGAATATGCAATGGAGCAAAGAAAGTATGTTCAATAAATGATGCTGAAAAAACTGGGTCACTACATGCAAAAGAAAGAAGCTTGACTACTACCTCATACCATGCACAAAAACCAACTCAAAATGGATTAAAGAACAAGACTTAAGACCTGCAACCATAAACTATAAAGAAGGAAATATAGGCAAAACACTACATGCCATACACCTCAGCAACATCTTTAAAGACTCATCACCCAAAGTAGTGATAGTGAAGGCAATGATAAACCGCTAGGACTACACCAAATTAAAGAGCTCCTGTACAGCAAAAGAGACAGTAACCAAAACAAACAGACACCCCACTGACTGGAAGAAAATTTTTGCACACAACGCTAATGATGAAGGACTGATTACAAAAATCTACAAAGATCTGAAGAGACTCAACAAAAACAAAGTAAATAATTCAGTCAAAAAAATGGGCTGAAGAGCTAAAAAAAGGAACTTCTCTAAAGAGGAAATAAATACAAATGGCCAACAGGCACATGAAAAAAATTTCAGCATCACTTGTAATCAGGGAAATGCAAATCAAAACTACAATGAGATACCATCTTATACCAGTGAGAATGGCACATAGTAAAAAACTAGATACAACAAATGTTGGAGAGGATGTGGAGAAAAAGGAACTCTCCTGCACTGCTGGTGTGAGTCCAACCACTATGGAAAGCTGTGTAAAGATTCCTCAACCTGTGGAAGCAGTGCTTCCATGTGATCCATCAATTCCACTCCTAGGTATTTACTCAGAGAACACAGATCATTAATTCAAAAGGGCACCTACACCCCTATGTTTACAGTAGTACTATTTACAATTGTAAGGTATGGAAACAACCCAAATGCCCAAAAATAGATGACTGGATCAAGAAGATGTGGAACATATACACAATGGAATATTACTCATCAATCCAAAATGATAAACTCATGCAATTAGCAGCAACATGGATGGAGCTGGAAGGGATCATGCTCAGTGAAATAAGCTAGAAAGGAAAAGAAAAATACCGGATGGTCTCACTCAGAGCAGGAATTTAGAAACCTAAATAAGGGAACAGGAAAAAGACTAATTATAATAAAGTAAAAATCTAAATCAACAAGAAACAAGCAACTATAAACCAGAGATACACTACAGGAGTGGGGGGAGGAGGGGAGGATGGTTTAGGGTTAAAATAAGGGGGTTGGGGACTGTATGGGGAACATAACCAAGATGAAAATACATACATTGCGCAAAAATGAAAAATGATGTAAAAATATATTAAAAAAACTGCTTGATAAAAGCCCTTGAAATTCTTGGGATACAAGGAACATACCTCAACATCATAAAGGCCATCTATGACAAGCCAACAGCCAGTATCATTCTCAATGGTGAAAAGCTGAAAGCAATTCCATTAAGATCTGGAACAAGACAAGGATGTCCACTCTCACCACTGCTTTTCAATATAATACTGGAAGTCCTAGCCAGAGCAATAAGACAAGAGAAAGACATCCAAGGAATCCAAATAGGTAAAGAAGAAGTCAAACTATCACTATTTGCAGATGATATGATAATATACATAGAGAACCCCAAAAACTCCACAGAAAAACTAATTCAACTCATCAATCAATTCAGTAAAGTGGCAGGATACAAAATCAACACGCAAAAGTCAGTAGCCTTCCTATACACAAACAATAAATCTGAAGAAGAAGAAATCAAAAAAACCATCCCTTTTATTATCAAAACAAAAAAAATCGAATATTTGGGAATAAATCTAACAAAAGAGGTAAAGGACCTATACAAAGAAAACTATAAAACACTGTTAAAAGAAATAGAAGAAGACACAAAGAAATGGAAAGACATCCCCTGCTCATGGATTGGAAGAATAAACATCATTAAAATGGCCATCCTACCAAAAGCAATATACAGATTCAATGCCATTCCAATCAAAATCTCAATGGCATTCTTCAAAGAAATAGAACAATTATTGATGAAATTCATATGGAATCACCAAAAACCCCGAATAGCCAAAGCTCTACTGAAAAAAAAAGAAGGAAATGGAGGCATCACACTCCCAGACTTCAAACTATACTACAAAGCCATAATCATCAAAACTGCATGGTATTGGAACAAGAACAGACATACAGACCAATGGAATTGAATAGAAAATCCAGAAATAAACCCACAGATTTATGGTCAACTAATATTTGACAAAGGAGCAAAGACTATGCATTGGAGCAAAGAAAGTTTGTTCAATAAATGGTGCTGGGAAAACTGGGTCGCTACATGCAAAAGAATGAAGCTTGACCACTACCTCACACCATACACAAAAATCAACTCAAAATGGATTAAAGAACTAGACATAAGACCTGAAACCATAAAATACATAGAAGGAAATATAGGCGAAACACTACGTGATTTGCACATCAAAGACATCTTTACAGACACATCACCCAAAGCAGTGATAGTGGAGAGAAAGATAAACAGCTGGGACTACATCAAATTAAAGAGCTTCTGCACAGCAAAAGAGACAATAACAAAAACAAAGAGAAACCCCACCAACTGGGAGAACATTTTTGCACCCAACACTAATGATAAAGGACTGATCACAAAAATCTGCAAAGAGCTGATGAGACTCAGCAACAACAAAGAAAATAATCCAGTCAAAAAATGGGCAGAAGAGCTAAAAAGAAACTTCTCTGAAGAGGAAATGCAAATGGCCAACAGACATATGAAAAAATGTTCAACATCACTTGTAATCAGGGAAATGCAAATCAAAACTACCATGAGATACCATCTCACACCAGTGAGAATGGCACATATTAAAAAAACTAGCAACAACAAATGTTGGCGAGGGTGTGGAGAAAAAGGAACTCTCCTGCACTGTTGGTGGGAGTGCAAACTGGTCCAACCACTATGGAGAGCTGTGTGGAGATTTCTGGACCTACTAAACATAGAGCTTCCATATGATCCAGCAATTCCACTCCTAGGTATTTACCCAAAGGACACAGAAACATCAATTCCAAAGAGCACCTGCACTCCTATGTTTATAGCAGCACTGTTTACAATAGCTAAGCTTTGGAAACAACCCAAATGCCCAAAAATAGATGACTGGATCAAGAAGATGTGGTACATATATACCATGGAATATTACTCAGCATTCAAAAAAGATAAACACATGCAATTTGCAGCAACATGGATGGCACTGGAAGGGATCATGCTCAGCGAAATAAGCCAAAAAGAAAAAGAAAAATACCGGATGGTCTCACTCATAGCAGGAATCTAGAAAACTTAAATAAGGGACCAGGAAAATGAATATAAGAAAGTGAAAATCAAAATCAACAAAAACTATGAACCAGAGACACTTTTTGGGGGGGGGGGCGGGAGGGAAGGATTGGGGTCAGAATGGGGCGTTTGCAATTGTATGGGGGAATATAAAAATAAAATTTAATATTTAAAAAAAAAAACTGCTTGAGAAAATAAAAAAGAAAGCAGTGAAGTCCTGACACTCATTAATAAATGATTGTTAGACACACTCTCCCATCACTCTGAATAGATTTAGGATTTCTTCAGTGGGGGCTCTGAAGGCATAATAAGAGCAACAGGGTTAATTGTGTTGTTGAGTGTATAAAGAAGCATCCTTATCTTCAGACAGTATGATACACTGAAAATGCAAATGAAATGTTAAATCATAGTCATTTCTTTTGTTCACAAATTTTCAAGTGGGGTTTCTCAGAAAGAAAAAGAAGTTTTCCTTACTGGAATGTAGACAATGTTCTGTATTATTTCCAGGTATACGTATTTCCTCAGATCATGTTTGTTCTTCAATGCATCCCTCTTGTTCTATATTTTGTGTTGATTTCTGGGCCTTCTAATAAACATTAACTTGCTGCTCTTTCTGAGAGAGAATGTTAGGAGGGGAAATGAACCCATCTTTTAGGTAGACCTGGAAGACAAGGAACAAAAGTGCTATATTGTACTGCTTGCAGAATAAAAAAATCTAGCACTACTAAACCTCAAAAAAATGAGCTGACACTGTGTTTTAAACCTAAATGTTAAATGGAAACCTATAGCAGCTCTTCCTGCCCACTTGTGTCTATGCAAGTATACTTTTCTAGCTTTTTCCTAATAAACCTACTTTTTAAATATAAAAAAATATGCACCTATAAAACCCTAAAGGCAAACATAGGAGAAAAAAATTCTACTAGACCTTGGTTTTGGTGACCAGTTTTTTTTTTTTTTTTTTTTTAAGATTTATTTATTTATTTATTTATATAAGCACTGGTTACAGTCAGAAATGTGGGAGGGTGAGAGAATTCACCAGAGCCAGAGCAGGGAACAGAACAGGCAGAGTGAAGAAATACACTGCTGAGGGGAGCAGCAGGCTCGGCAGGAGAGGTCTGTCATGCCATGTGGGACCCTCGCCGGCGGCCGGGGACCAAACTGGCACTGCAGAGGCTGCGCTCAGCTTCACAGGCCAGCGCTCAACCACTGCGCCACCAGGGGAGGCCCTGGTGACCAGTTTTTGTATATAACACCAAAACATGATCGAAGAAAGAAAAAATTGATAAACTGAAGTTTACTCAAATTAAAAATTTCTATCTGCAAGGACATCACTAAGAGAATGGGGGCGGGGGAAAGATGCAGACTGGGAGAAAATAATTGAAAAACACATACTGGATCAAGGACTTGTGTCCAAAATATCCTTAACATCAAAAGTACAATGTTTAAAATGGACAAATGATCTACACAAAAAATATACACTAACTGTAAAGTGAGTATCTGAAAAGATACTCCACACCATTTGTCTTCAGAAAAATGCACACGCATATTAAAATAACAATATGGAACCATGATAGACCTGTGAGAATGACTAAAACTTAAAAAATCCAACAGTTGGTAAGGATGCGAATGATCAGGAAGCTTCATTCTCTACTGGAAGGAATGTAAAATGATACAAGCAGTTGTCACAAAGTTAAACACTCTCACCATACAATCTAGCAATTCTGCTATTTACCTAAAGAAATTGAAATTTTATATCCACAAATAAGCTGCATATAACTGTTTAAAGTGATTTTATTTCTAATCACCAAAGACTATAATTGAAGTTATCTTCAATAGGTGAAGGTATAACACTGTGGTACACCCACAGAATGAAATACTACTTAGCAACAGAAGGAAATCAGAAAGAGGAGCCCAGCTTTGCGTCCGCGGAGGCAAGGCAGAGGTCCTGCCGGGAGTCAAGTCAGATGAGCACACGAAGCATGTGGCTGCATGCTGTGGTATGCCCTCACTAAGACGAGACTGTCCTTTGGTGAGGGCGGTTTCCGGTAAACAGAAATACTGCCAAGCGTCAGGAGGTGCAGCAGGGGTGCCAGGCCTCGGGGGTACCAGGAGCCAGGAGGTGAAGGCCTTGGTCAGGCGCAAGTCCTCAGGGCACAGATCAGAGTAAGCCCAGAGTCAGCCAGGAGTCAAAGCACTGCAGAGGAGGTTTCTGTTGCTGCCAAGTCATCAAGTCCTCTCCCAAGTCCTCAGAAAGTCTGCTTCACCCCATCATAGCGGCTGCCACTTCACCAATCAAATCAGATCAGTGCTTCAGCATCCGAGAAGAGGAAGGGCCAAGTACTTCACAGGCCCTGCCAGACACTGAGTGCTTGTTTAGCAATGCCATCAATGAGAAGGTGGGTGACATGGTGGAGTTTCTGCTCCTCAAGTTTCACACAAAGGAGTCGCCCGCAAAGGCAGAAATGCTGAATGGTATCATCAAAAATTATCAGGACCACTTTCCTGTGATCTTCAGCCAAGCCTCTGAGTGCAGGCAGCTACTGCTTGACACTGACATGAAGTAGACCCCAGCGGCCACTCTTAGATCCTAGAAACACCTTGGATCTCACCCTCAATGAGATGAGCAGATCATGCCCAAGACAGGCCTCTAGATAAATACCCTGGGTGTGAGCTTCATGGATGGCAACAGTGCCCCTGAGGAAGACATCTGGGAAGTGCTGAATGTGACGGGCATGTATGCTGGGATGGAGCACTTCATCTATGGGGAACCCAGGAAGCTCATTACCAAGAGCAACTGGGTAGAGGAACAGTACCTGGAGAACCAGCAAGTGTCCAACAGTGATCCTGCACGTTATGAGTTCCTGTGAGACCTCAGGGCCCACACTAAAACCAGCAAGATGAAAGTGCTGGAGTTTTTGGCCAAGATCAATGATACTGTCCCCAGTGTCTTTCCTCTCTGATATGAAAAGGTTTTGAGAGATGAGGAAGAGAGATCCCAAGCCAGAGATGCAGCCAGTGCCAGTAGAGGTGCAGAGTCAGTGAGCGGGCCACAGCCAGGTCCTGTTTCAGAGCCATAGCCAGCAACTTCTTGTAAGAAGAACAGTGAGGACCAACTTTCTGAGCCAATGCGCATAGCCAAACCGATGGTAGAAGGGAGAGCTTTTCAAACCCCGTGTTCTGAGCAGGGGCTGATGGGAATTAGGAGCAGAGCTGAGGCTTTTGGCAGTTAAACTGCTGGCATTCTGGGTGCAGTTATGCTGCTGAAGCTCTTGGCCAGTTAAACAGCTAAGGCTTCTGACCAGATAAACTGCTAGACTTTGAGTAGTTAAAACTACTGAGCTGTGGGTAGTTAAAACTGCTGAACTTTGGGTACTTAAAACTGCTGGGCTTTTGGTACTTAAAACTGCTGGGCTTTTCGGTAATTAATCTGCTGGAGTTTGGGACAGATAAACTGCCAAGCTTCTGGCAGTTAAACTGTTGGGCATTTGGCAGTTAAACTACTGGCCCTTTACCAGTTATACAGCTGGGGCTTTGACGGTTAAATCACTGGTGGGGAGAAGTGTCTGTGGAAAAGCTCACTTGCCATGTACAGCTTTACTTAAACCTTGGTCTCTGATCAGAGGATGCTATCTGGGGAAGGACAGGCAGCATCAGACCATGTGCCAATCAGTGAATTATCAGTCTTTCTTCTTGTGTCAATAAGTCCTGTTATTGTCTCACCCTGCGTTTGCTTTTGGGTCCTGTTCTGCAGTCCTAAGCATAAAGGTGAGGTCCCACCAACTGAGCCAAACCACAGGTTTGCTCGTTTCATTCTCTTGATCCCTGTGAGGTCAGAGTTTCACTCTGTATCTGAAGAGAGAAGCCATCGTTCTAAGTAGTGGAACATCATGTGACTCTGGCAGAATGAGTGCATGACATCGTTTTGTGTTCCTGGTCTATAAGGATGACTTGGAGATTTCCTTTTCCTCTTTGGTATTTTAAATACTCATATTAATACAATATTAAACTTCAAGGGCCTCCCTGTTGGCGTAAGGGGTTATAGCACAGTACTATGAAGCTGTCTGCAGCCTCTGCAGCATGAGTTTGATCCCCGGCCGGCCAGGGAACTACCCACATGGTGCAGCAGACCTCTCCCGTCTTGCCTGCTGCTCCCCACAGAAATGTATATCAGTCACTCTGCCCGTTCTGTTCCTCACTCTGTCTCTGGTGAATTTACCCCCTTCCTCTGGTCTGTACCCCAGTTCTTCTATGTATAAAAATAAATCAATCTTTAAAAAAAATTAAACTTCAAATTCTAAACTTACAAATGGCATTGGTCACACAGTATGCTATTTAAATCTAGTTTAAGAAGTGAGCATTTTACTATTTTGTAAAACAAATTGGGAAATTTTCAATCTCATTTTGTGATCTGAAAAAAGGTAACATGTCATTGGAATAAGTTTTCATGGAAAAGTAAAATCATTGGGGTCAAGAAATAAAGAAAAAATAAAAAAAAGTTAATTCTTAGCTTTCCTTAACTCATTTAGTGTGTCACTTTGTAAAATCAAGAGATATATACCTGGATGTGCTTGGTTTATTCAAGAATAGAAGAGAAATTGAATCTTAATGAAAAAATTGAAAAGAAATCACCTATCAAATCACAGAAAGACATGAATGAATCTTTTTTTCTTTAAGATTTATTTATTTATTTATTTATTTGTTTATTTATTTATTTATTTATATAAGCACTGGGTACAGTCAGAAGTGCGGGAGGGTAAGAGAATTCACCAGAGCCAGAGCGAGGAGCAGAGCAGGCAGAATGACCGAAGTACACTGCTGAGGGGAGCAGCGGGCGGCAGGAGAGGTCTGTGGGCCATGTGGGACCCTTGCAGGTGGCCGGAGAGCAGTCAGGGATCAAACCGGCATTGCAGAGGCTGCGGGCAGCCTCGCAACCCAGCGCTCAACTGCTGTGCCACCGGGGAGGCCCATGAATGAATCTTACATGAAATGACACAATTGTAGCAAAGGCTACATTGCTCTATGACTACAATTACATAACATTCTAGAAAAGGCAAAATATAGATACAGTAAAAAGATCAGTGGGTCTAGGGGTTTAGGGAGAGGAGAATGATTGGGAATTCACAAAAGGAATGTTTACGGTGATCAAACTATTCTATATGACATAATGGTATTCACATGACACGTTGATTTCTGAAAATCTGTAACCTTGTAGGATAGAGAACAACCTAAATATATTCAAATTTTCAAAAGACTATTTAGAATGTCAGGTTATCCCAGGATGGAATGTAAAAGTGACAAACCAATCCAAATATATGAGAAATGGATGAAACAATCTCACTGAAGGGGATGGAGGAGAAATATGCTCACCTTAAGTAACTGGAAATGAGTGGCGTCTGCAAGTTTAAAGCAATAGAACCTGCATGTGACATTCTATGCCAGTGAGTTATTTCCTGTGGGGTACCGGTTAACAATTTGATATCACTTTACACATACAGTAGAACTAAACAATTAAGTAAATAGATGGCAGATGGTGAGAATCAAGTTTCTCACTGTTGCACTGGAAGTTACAGATTGGCAAAGGGGAAAGACTAAAATGATCGTGTGGTAATAAAATCAGAGACATCAGATGAGGTCGTGGTTAGCTTAACATAAACACAAATGATTACACATAGACATATATGCAGATATGTGTTTGTTTAATGGGTTTGTATATATACGCAAATATTTCCTTTCTTGGAGGGCCTAGAATCAATGACTCCCCAAGTAGCAACAAGCACAACTAGTATACAGATGTTGGGTTCTAACACCATTTGGCAAAAAGAGGAACCGAAGGATCCTTGGAAAAATATAAATGGGACTCAGGTAGGAAATCAGAAGATGAGCCTGAAGCGTCCTGTAGTCCCAGAAAGTAAGGAAGTGCTCACCACCAATGACAAAACTCATCAGAATGAAAGATACACGAGTCAGCTGAAAGAGCTCCCAACGGTCAAAGTTGAAAAATTTGAGCAACAAAATAAGTGGCATCAAATTTTAACCCAAAGTATAAAATAAGTATCCATGAGTATATACTAACATAAGTGATTGAATAAAAAATAGAAAGGGAGAATAGACAAGTGTCCCATGCAAAATAATTCAAAATATTTTATGTAAGTGCTCCACCTTCAAAGAGATGAGGTGGAATTCCCCACTCCTTCAGTATGGGCTGTAATTTCCTTCCAAACAGGGCAGTACAGAAGGAGGGGAGGGGATTAGGGAAATTGTACAATGGAGAAACTTTACACACATGTCCTCAGTGAAGTGATAAAAGTGAACACCAGTAGTGATAAGTTATACTGATAGTAAGATGTGATGTAATAGAAATGATATTTTAATTGCATGGTTGGTCTTCATTCCAAGAATAATAAAGAACTACAGTCTATGGTGAGAAAAATTGAACATAAATCCCAATTGCAGAAAATCCTGCAAAATACCTGACCAACACACCTCAAAATTGCCACAGTCATTGAAAACAAGTAGTCTTAAAAAGTGCATGGAAAGTACACAGCCAGAAGAAAATGCATACATTGTACAAAAATGAAAAATAATGTAAAAAATATATAAAATAGAAAAAAAAATACACAGCCAAGAGTAACCTAAAGGGACCTGAGGACTAAATGCAACATAGAGGGCCTCCATAGTGGCACATGGGTTTCTCCCAGTGCTATCAAGCTATTGCCAGCCACTGCAGCATGAGTTCAATCCCCGCCAGGAAGCTAAGGCACATGGCACAGCAGACCTCTCCTGCTCCTCTCAGCAGTGTATTTCAGTAGATCCACCTGTTCTGCTCCCCATTCTGTCTCTGGTGAATCCTCTCACCCCCTGTACCTTGGTCCTACACCTCAGTTCTTGTACGCGTAAATAAAAATATATTTTAAATAAATAAATAAATGCAACACGGAATTCTGGATAGGACTCTAAAACAGAAAAAAGACATTATGGGGCCTCGCTGGTGGTGCAAGGGGTTAAGACGCAGTACTATGAAGCTATCTGCAGCCTCTGCAGTGCAAATTCGATCCCTGGCCAGGAGGCTGACCCACATGGCACAACAGACCTCTCCTGTCTTGCCTGCTGCTCCCCACAGCAGTGTATTTTAGTACATCTGCCTGTTCTACTCCCCACTCTGTCTCTGGTGAATCCTCTCATCCCTGCATTTCTGACTTGCACCCCATAAATAAACCAATCTTTTTTTAAAAAGACATTACCGCAAAAATTGAAAGTTTTAATAAAAAGTAT